GTGCTGTTCATGAAGCTATAAAGAAGTAAACCTAGAATCAGCAGTTCCCCTCAACTCAGTGGACTTTTTTGCTGGATTTCAGCTCATTATGTTGGTTTTCCAGTTCACAATGGGAATCTTTTTATTCACTGTCAATGATCTTATTTTGTAACCTTGGTCACAGTAGACAGCTGTCAGCTAACAACCAGCTGTGCTCTACCTGTCCAGCTCCAAATATTAGTGGCGAGCTGATGAGCACAGGGGAACTCTGAGAGACTAAATAGGCCAGTTGTGGATCGCCAAAGTTGGTGGAGACCAAAACAGAGCAGAAATGACAGTGTATGTTGGAAATGATGCTCAGTACAGTTTGTACTGGATGTGGAGCCTAAATCGATACTTTTTGCTAACAAGTCGACCAGCATAAACTATGATTATATGTCAGTGCCATGTTTACCTACACACTATTCTCAACTTTTCTTTGTATTTTTAGCCTTCAGTTTTGCAGTTGCTTTTGTTCTGATTGTCATGTTTTTTATCCTCTATTTTGTGCCTAACAGAGAAAATATCAGGTCCTTCTATCAAATCATCCACAAATCTGACAGTCGAGGAGACGCGTGTCGACTTAACCTGTGAGGCCTCTGGCTCCATCTTCACCAGGACATGGAAGAAGGACGGCTCAGATCTGGTCCTGGGTGACAACATGATGCTTTCTGACAATAACAGATTGTTGTCTTTCAACCCTGTGAACAGAAAGGACAGCGGAGAATATTCCTGTCATATCAGCAACCCTGTCAGCAGTGGTGAAGCTAAATACAACATGGTTGTTAACTGTAAGTAACATGCTGTTCAGTGTACATTAATTGTACAAACACACACGTTGAACCACAAGTGGCAACGTGTTACTGAAATGATTAGTTTTGTGTGTAGCCCTGAAATGTAGAATTTTAGATTTAAAGTGAATTCTTTAACATGTTTCTTGTTATTTGTTATTTTTGTCCAGCAGTGTACCTGGTAAAACATTTGTGTTGCTGTAAGATTATTTTACAAATGTATGTTTTTCAGATGGACCAGACAGTGTTCAAATCGCAGGTGTAAGTCGGCTAAATGTGAAAAGCACCTTAACATTGAGCTGCTCTGCTGATTCCATACCATCTGCCAGTTACACCTGGAAACTCAATGGGACAACGATGGTCACCAACTCTGCTGAATACATTAAAGAAAATGTTGACTTTTCTGACAGTGGAGAGTACACGTGTGAAGCAAGAAATGCTATAACTGAGAGAACATTACAGGCAGTGCATGCATTGACTGTAACTGCAGGTACTTAAATCTGGTTGATTGTAGATTCTGTCGATACTTGTGGATATTGTGGTTATCTTCAATTATTATACCTGTGGTACTTTGAAAACTTCTAGGCTTCCAGTTTTTGATTTTTTGAGACGATAAGAAATTCTGTTT